TAAAATGTTAAAAACCATTTACTTTTTTAATCATTATTCGCAACATTCAATACCTGCATATTTAAAGTTTTTTTTTCCTTTACTAGGGATATTCATACAGGGCGGCCCAATAGTGATAATATTACTCATATGCCATACGGATAGAAAATAATTTTAGGCGCCATAAGGGGGACGTTTTAAAAATGTTATGAAGTATGCGGGGTGTTTCCGAAGGCCGCGTCAAACATGATTTTTAAACGCAATAACCCGATTTTTTATATTTCATATTTTAATCATGATAATGAAATAATGATGAAACAGTAAACAATCTTCATTTTGATTCTGAGTTTTATATACAAAATCTTTCAGACAAAATAACTAATGTTTTCCAGAATGAATCAAACATATACCTAAATTGCAAATGAAAATATAAAATTTATTAATAATTTATACACTATAATCGTGAAAGGTAAAGATGATTTACTTAAAAAAGAAACAATTTTGTTTATATTAAACCATTTTGTAATAATAATTGTGTATTACAATTATATAGACCAAATATAAATTCACTCATCATATATCTCTCTAACTAATATTAAAAATAATAAACGTAATTGTGCTTGGTGCATCAATAGCTAATAGTTTTCAATTAATTTAGATGTCAATTAAACAATGAAACGTTGGTAGTAGATGTAAATAAAAATACGTTTTTTACAAAGTATATTATATATTTTTTAATGGAAATAAATATTTAAACGATTAGAATAATAATAACAGTAACACTAAAAATAACATAACAACAACATTAACAATAATAATAAAGATAATAAAAATAATAATAAACGAACTTATAAATTAATGAAGTCTGTTTACACAAAATCGAACTTACCATTGCACTGGTGAGAATATTAAAAAATAAAAAATCTGTTGAAAACAGTAAATCAATCCCCGCAACTATTGAGTCATATTAGGCTGTTTACAAATAAACTCAGTGATTTTTACGAGCAATAGCAAAAAAATCGGGCGAAGCATCTGCGGGAACAACTGAAATTCACGCATGCGTTTTAAATGCTACTACCATTTATTAGCCATTAGACAATACCTATCAAATGCAACTGGTATCAGATTAATTATTTACCCTATCGAATATATCAAGAGTTTATGGTGCCACGGTGTAGTATATCTCCACACCCCACTCCCAGTCTGAAACATTCCGTAATTATTTGTGGTGGGGCGCGATAGAATGAGAGCGACCCAACTAGTGGGGACTTTAAGATGCCCATCAGTGTACCATCGAAAAGCTTCTGCTTGGTAAACATGGACGGCAACTCTAATTTTATAATTCATGAGAGGATAACTGAAAAAAAAAAATGAATTTGGAAAAGTACATCTACTGATTTTTGTAATTAATCAAATATCAAATTAATACTACTGCATGTATGCATTTAAATCATTCTAAAAAGTGTCACATACTTCTGTAGTTCTGTAGAGATGGATGAAATTGTTGAAAAACCTAAAAATTATAAAAGCCTCATTGAATTAAAGAAAGAGAATCGACTATAAATGAGGTAATTTGGTCAGGACTTTGACTTAAAAACTGGAAAACTGCAAAATTTGTTTTGCAAAATAATGACGTTACAACATTTTTTTATTAAAATTTGAACAAACCGCCAATGGTTTGCAACCATTCTCTATGGTCAGATTTGATATTGTTTGAAGTTACTTATTTGTGGCATGGTATTTTTTTTCTAACGTTTATTGCAGGGCGAACGTGTTTTTCTTTGCTTTTTCCATCTTTGGATAGAAAAACCAAATCCAAAGTTAACCTTTAAATGGCCCCTAAATTTGACTACAGGGTTCAAGGTCAGGGTCACAATTAGACCATAAATTATGACCCCCGCAGTTGGTACGAAATTTATCACCAAGGTCATTCAACCTTATCCATAAAATGCAAACATTTACTCTGATTTGACCTTCAGAGGACCCTTAGGGATCAGTATGACCTACGTCTTTGAACACCAACCTGTTCTTTCCATTTCTGGATAAAACAAATGGGATTGATATTTGACATTCTGAAGTTGACCTTTAAATGGCCTCTAAGGTTGACTTCTGGATCAAAACCAAGATCAATATCGTACGGACAGGGGTCCGTTTTAAGGGTAAAACCTTACAACTTTTGTTCTGGAAGTTTTTCAATTGGAGGTGATCTTGCAATGTTATTCGGGGTGATGGATTAAAATGGAAGACACTGTTACAGGCCCCAACTAGTAGTGAATAAAATTTCTAATAACCAGTAGGTACCTAAACCTTGTCAGAAGTGGTGTGAGGACCAAAATATAAAATACTTATCTAAATGATATTTAACAATTTCAATTTATCAGGCATGTGTGTTTTATTAATTATATTTAGACATGCTAATCATTTTCAACTTTTACTTGGGATAATTGTTTATTACTCGCTGTTTATTGGTTATTGATTGTATAATTCAATATTAGTTAGGACATGTAGCCCGTAGAGTAGTTGTTCTCGCAATATCGGCCATTAGGAGCATTGTCTGATCGCTGGTATCGAAGAACATTGTTTAACTTCACTTGATAAGATTTTTTAGAAAAACAATTTTTTAATTTGTTTAAAATAGGTAACTAACTTAATATATTTAAAATAGAATAAAAAGTGTGTGGTATACAGGGTGTTTCAAAAAGGTGTTGCCAAACTTGAGGTTGTTACAGAAGACATTGCGGAAGAAAATGTTTTCGTCGCAAACAAAACAAATGTGAAACACTCAATTAGGTGGGATCAATTTATTACGTGACAGCTCTGTTCATTTGTTTCACTATTCCTCACAGCGTGACATGGATGACATTGCATGACTAGATTAGATGCGTGCAATAGAGCTTTTATCACAGTTGTGGATAAAATCTATTTTCACCAACATCCTGTGTAGGACATGCAGTTGGTAAACACTTATCAGAAGATATAAACGTGTTTATTTTGTTTCAAATCATTTGCATTATCCTTAATATAAATTACTTAAATATCAATGTCTTTTGGTGTCAACGAGATAACATTACGTTTTTGGGCAAAAATTTGTATATGCAAACATTGTCCAAAATCTGAGAAATTTTCCTAATACCGCAAATTTCATCAGATTCAAGCATCAATAAATATGGAACAAATTACATTTTCGTTACTAAAAAGATGTCGCGCCTGTGTTCGTGCAAATGGATTTTTGAGCATTTACTCAAATAAAATCATTAAAATGATGACTAATGTTATTAATTTCTTTATTCGAATAATTAACCGAATGATTAGTATTTGTCATGCCATTTAAGTAACAGTGTTTTCAGTTGTTTTTTTTTTGTAGAAAATTGAAAGACGAATCCGAAAATATCATGGTTGTTACCGTAAAGCAGTGGCGTTCTATTTTATTTAGAAAAATATGCCACCGATACCTTGTATCTCCGCCACTGGAGCATGTAAATTTTAGTAAATTTAGATCTTGGACAATGTTTACATAAATACATGTGCTCAATTTCAAATTATTTCACTTACTAGTTATTACATAATTATTTTAAAAAATTAAAAATATTTTTTGAAGTTTAACACACTGTGTTTTCAACGAAGCGTTCTAGATAAAAACTTTATAGGAAAGACTCCTCTTAAAATTCACCAAAGAATACGAGGTCACCATTTATGAATCACCCTGTATTCTCTACCAAAAGTTATACAAGTAGCAATCAGTTTTTCTCGATTTTATTTAAAATAATCATGCAATATCTTTTAGAAGTCCTGGAAATTTCGAGAAAATTCTGCAAATTTAATACTGAAAGCGGTCTACACATTTTAAAGGCGTTGTGATTTAAACAAATGGAATGTATTGATTGAGAAACATGAGGTTCCTAGAGTATATTAAATCCTTGACAAGGTCACATAGGAGTGGAAATATTTACTTACCTGAGATCACTTATAATTGCCGGCGAGAGGCTACGTTACGGGTCTCGGGACCAGTTTTCTAAGAAGAATAGATATTATTATTAGAACACCACTTGTAAAGGTGTTCCGTTAAAAAAATTGTTAATGAAAGGATATTTATTTTATAGTAGGTACCCATAATCAGAATCTTACATTATCTACATAATTGAGAAAAAATGTTGACGCATTAATAATACTCAAAGCGAATTATTTTTCTTTTACTATTATTTAGGTATTATTGTGCGTAGCATATACAGGATGTTAACAGAGACAAACTTCCACCACTAATTTCTCTCGTCAGAACAAACAAAAAGATAACAATTAACAGGGTTACGATTTTTCTTAAAACGAGTATTTTCTTAAGGATTTTATGATCTTGTAATGAACCTTTATTAATTTAACCTTTAAATATCCGATGTACGATTGTCTTCTCCTATGTTGATAATGTTTGAATTGAATTTTGTATTTATTACAGGTCTGAGTACTAATATTCGATGAACAATTTGTCAACGTCGTCAATCGGCTATAAAAACCGAGCTTCGCACTTGAAAAAATAGTATTGTTGATCGGCAATTTTCTCAGCACCAAGTAAGTCCTTTTCCCCCTTGGTATCGTCCCTTTCCTACCAAGATTCCTCTCTCCTTATCCTTCCGTCTGGGAACAGAGCGTCGACAATTTCCCTTGTTCCTAGAGCTTCCGTGACCGCTTCCGTCCAGGAATAGAGCGTAGGCAATTTTCCGAATATTATTACCGACCGTCACTGATTTGTCAGTGGTGAATTTTTGTAAATAAACGGGCGTATACCTATAGAAAAACGTGGTTTTCTTATCAAGACCCCTGGTTTACACTTTTCTCCACTCCTGTTAAGCCGGCCACTCACGTTCCGGTAGACCTGTGCAGGTACACCTGTGCAGGTGACCTGTCCAGGCCAACCGGAACGTGTGTAGGAATAAACCTGCGCAGTTAGAGGGACCTGTGCAGGCGACCTGAGCAGTATCGAAAATCGATTCGGCGTACCTGCGCCAGAGCTGCCGTACGGTGGACCGGAACGTGTGTGGCGACTATTGCCTGCGCAGGTACTCAGTTCTCTAATTTGTGTCTTTTTTGAAATGGCGTTAAGTGGTGAAGACCAACGCAGGGTAATTTCAGAGTTTATAGAGTGCTATAAATCTGAGCCCTGTCTGTGGCGAATTAAGTGTAAGGAGTACCACGATCGTGGAAAAAGGGAGGCAGCTTATAAAAAACTGGTGGAGAAGCTTAAGGAAATAGACCCTGCCGCTAATAAAGATGCAGTCATAAAGAAAGTTAATAATTTAAGAAGCAATGTTAGAAAAGAAAAGAAGAAATACGGAGATTCTATTAAGTCTGGAGCATCAGCTGACACAGTGTACCATCCTAAATTGTGGTATTACGATTTATTTGACTTTCTCAGTGACCAAGAGACGCCAAGGGAATCTACATCGAACTTGGATCCAGTAGAGGAAAATTCATCTGAGGTAAGTTAATAAAAGACGTAAGTAGTAGTTTTTATACTTTATTTATTGTATGTTTTACGAATGATGTTGATGGTAAGTACAGATAAAAAAATATTCAAACAATAAAATTATTTTGCCATGGTACCCTGCCCTCGCGGCAAAAGTAATGCATGAAATTTACTCTAACGTTTTTTGCTGTATCATTGATATTTCCCGGGTTTCGTTGCTCTAAATTTTCCATGTTAGAGTTAAGTGGATTGTACCCGTAAGTGATGATGCTTCCGTCTACAGTATTTTCTTGATGAACACATTCTTGAGGTGCATATGATCTTGGTGAATGTTGTATCAAAAAATTGTGTAAAACAACTGCTGCCATTACTATTTTAACAATGTTCTCGGGTTCTACATTAATTTGAGTATGAAATATACGAAATCGCGAAGCCAGTATTCCAAACGCATTTTCGACGATGCGCCTTGCACGAGACAGTCTGTAGTTGAATATTCTTTTTTCTTGCGAAGTCAAATCCGCTTGTCGAAAGGGTTTTATCATATCAGTGCGTAAAGCAAAAGCGTCGTCAGCAACAAAAACATACGGAAGATTTCTAGCGCTTTCTTTGACACGTTCTTCGCTTGGAATATGTAATTCACCTTTATTTAACATTTCGAAAAATTTTGTATTTTGGAGGACACCCCCATCTGATATTCTTCCATTGGTTCCAAAATCCGCTAAAATAAATTGATATTTTGCGTTTACAATTCCTAAAAGAACCATACTGTGTCGCCCTTTATAATTAAAAAATTCAGATCCACTTTCAGCTGGCGGAATGATGTCAATGTGCTTGCCGTCGATTGCACCCAAGCAGTGTGGAAAGTTCCATCGTTCTTCAAATAATTGTGATATTTCTTTCCATTCTTCTTGACTTTTAGGAAACTGAAAAAAATAAAAAAAAATAACAATCATTTTTAACAACTAATGATACATTTTTATTTTCAGATTTGGTCTACACAAGAAAATGAAAATTCACATATTGCTGATGATCTGAATTCTACATCCTGTGAGAGACCGTCTACAACAGACAACGCAGGTTCATCGACCGAAAATGAAAATGTTCCATGTTCATCAGGAGAAGGTAACACTTTCATTGCTCGATCAAGACCAGGTAAACAAAAGCGGAGCCAAGATTCCTTGACCAATGAAGTTTTGACGACTGTACGAGATCATTTTAAGCGCCCGTATCTGCAAGAAGACCGTTTTGACATTATCGCGAAAAGTTTTGCGATTAAACTGAGAGAATTGGACAAAAGACAGAGCCTAATCGCAGAAAAACTAATCAACGATGTTATTTTCGAGGCAGAACTTGGCCATCTTACACTACAACATAAATGCGTTAATATACAGGAAATCTCTGACGCAACAAATCGTAATGTGCAGCAATATCAACCAGCTATGTTTTCTCGCAATTCAGTCTCATATCCCTCATCACATTCATCCAGTCCTGGTCATACTATTACCCCTACAGCCAGTCCTAGTCCCAATTTTGTGCAATACATCCAACCAGAAACAAGTCAATTACAGCTTAACCCTAATTACAACTGTCAACGTTCTCAGTCGCAGCAGTTCTCTCATACCAGTTCCGCACAACATTGTTCTGGATATCAAGAACACCAACAGTCTTCCGAAAATGTAGTGGTTATGGAATCTAGTACAGAAAATTCTGCTGCTTCTTATCTTACCAACTTTAAAAGCTTTGATTAATGTTATTTAAATAATTAATACATTACACATTAAGAAATAATAATTTGTTGTTTTATTTGCTTACCTTCAAGTATTCTTTGCACAGAACTTTATACAAAGCAGCACATGTTTCAGGGATTATTTTTCCGAGAGCTTGAGGTGAGATAACTGAAGAATATTTCATGTCTTCGTAACTTCTTCCTGTTGCTAGGAATCTTAGAGTTACAGCTAATCTCTGATGCGGTGAAATACAACTTCTCATTACTGTATTCTTCTTTGTAATAAGAGGAGCAACCATAGAAAGCAATTTTAAGTATGTTTTCTCGTCCATTCGTAGATAATTTTTGAAATCTTTAGGTTCAAATCTCAACTCGTTTAATAAATTTATATGACTGTAATTTCTCCGCTTTAATAACCAGTCTTTGCACCATTTTTCCCGTTTCTTCTTGTTCTTTACACGTCCATTTACAACTAATAAGAGGCCTAGCAAAGCCAACGCGTCCGCGTCATCTTTCGATGCCATTGTCATCGAACGAGAGAATACCATGGAAGTGAGAGAATCGCTAGAATTTCACCATAGCGTGTGTGGGTATTCAAAGGTCTCCGGTCTACCTGCACAGTTTCACCTGCACAGGTGTACCTGCACAGGTCTACCGGAACGTGAGTGGCCGGCTTTACCCGGACGGCGACTTTTTGTGTGACATCCGAGTTCACACGTAGAAAGTTCGTCACAATCTTTCATACACCTGGATCACGGTTTCTGATCATTTATTCAAGAACCATACAACGGAAAAATCAAATTTAATTATTTTCCCAAATGCATATTATTTATTGAATGAAAATAAGTGCTATAAATGGATTCAACTTTTCTATAATTCTTGAGATATTAGAGCAAAATATTTCTGCAAAAAAAAACATAATTTTGATTGCAAATAGTCCATTTATGTAAATTTGAAAATAAAATCGTCTTTAACTTCAACTAACATTATTTTTGACAGTGGAAATCCCATAGACCTTTCGTAATTCTGTTTTTGTTCAAATTTTACATGAAGTTGGCTGCTGTGAGGATATTGCACTGTACCACATTTGAAGTCTACTATTTTCAGTGGTTCGTGAGTAATAATCGAAAACTGTGTTTCAATCCATGAAGTGGCAACTTTTTCAAGGGGTGGTAAGTGACTCGAGTGTCGAAAACATAAAAAATATCAGGAAGTCATAGAGAAACACCTGCATCTTTTCTCATCCTATAGCTTCTGAAACTTTCTTCTGCAATAAGTAAGTCATATTTATTAATACAGGGTGTCCCGAAATTCATGCAACAAAATTTGGTCACAGATTCTTAGGACTAATTTAGGGAACCCGTATTTTTTATTTTTACCCTCTTTCGGAGTTACAGCCCCCTGAAGTCCGCCCCTAAGAATAATCTTTTTTATATATATCTCAGAACCCTGTTGTACGAGAATCACTAAATTTGGTACGCAGGAGTTTTATGACATGTGGAATTTGATGGTGCAACGTTTTTTGACGGAGAACCCCCTTAAGACAATTTTTCGTGGGCCCTCTTGTCTTTGGAGCCAAAAAAATTTGGTCGCATATTTAAATTTCTTAAAAATTATCGGTCCACTAGAAAACCATTAAATTTACAAACTTTTTGTCTCTTTATACTTTTTTCGTAAAACGCAATGTTTTCGAGAAAAATGTCGAAATGTGATTGAATGCATATCGTGATTACTAATAATTTAAAAAAAAAATCAAATTTGCGACCAAATTGTTCTGGTTCCAAAGACAAGGGGGCCCACGAAATAGTGTCTTAAGGGGGTTTCTCGCCAAAAAAAGTAGCACTGTGAGATTCCACATGTCATAAAACCCCTGTGTACCAAATTTAGTGATTCTCGTACAACATGGTTTTGAGATATAAAAAAGACTCCTTAGGGGCAGATTTCAGGGGGCTGTAACTCCGAAAGGGGGGGGGGCAGTTGGTAAAAAGAAAAAATACTGGTCCCCTAAATTTGTTTTAAGAATCTATGACCAAATTTTGTTGCATGAATTTCCGGACACCCGTATAGGAGACTAGCTACCTGGTAGTATCTGAAATTGCCTATTTCTTAACCTTACTGTGAAAGTCTCATATGGATTACTTAAGGGCGTCAAATTCTTTAAATAGTGTTTTCCACAAAGACAAATAATTTTAATAATTGAATAATCTAAAGCTTATCAAATAATAGGAATGTTATGTCATGCCACCTGAATATTTTCAAAGACACCGCAGCAAAACGAATAAACAGGTACAAAAAACGATCAAACCATCAAGGTTTTAGGTACTGAAATCTACGAAAATACTTACTTTTTTATATACAACTCCACATGTAAACATTCTTTACTGATTTACTTAAAATTTAAATAGTAACAATGAATAAACAGAACATCAATGATTTTATTTTTGGCTTACTTTTGTTCTACACGTTTTACTTTTCAAGATTTCAGGACCTACCTAAAAACGCCAGAAATTTGACTATTTCTCGGCCAGGGATATGGCCACCTCAATTACTACTATTCGAATGCCAAATAGTGTCATAATCACAATTTTTACAAATTTTGTGATCATAATTTACTTTTGCGAAGTTTACACCAGTTTAATTCTCTTTTATATAATTATTAGTATATTATCCTGTTTTTTTAAAATCTACCATCTGACATTATATGCCACCTACTTGACAACCATTGGTCCTACTCCACATACTTTCCTTCAAATATTAATAAATATTTCATAAGTTTAACAAAATTTACAGGATTCTCCTTAAAATTTTGTACAAAATTTCCTCAAATTAGATGATTAAAATAAATTTTTAATTTACAATCAGAACATTTTAGGCGTATGTAGGTAGGTTGTCCATATTTGCCTGAGTACACCTATGTGACTAATTGTCCAAGGATTACGTAAAATATGTAGTACATCGACAAGAACACCGTTCATTTCTTGATTTAGTAGATACATATAAATCATTTATAAGCGACAGTTATTATTACATTTGAGAGGTAGGTATACTCATATCCTTTCTTAATGTGACAATGATTATCTTAAATTATGTGTACGGAAGAGTTACCAAACAGTTCCTTTCAAATTTATTCCTTCGATCTGCGAGACTTTAATTAATTCTTCTTTCAATGAAATTTGAAATCCAAAAACACAAAACCTCGACGTTTATTTTGAATGATACGTCTGAATATCGAAGGATTTAAGAAAGTGATAAGCATATGGCCGGCCGTCCTTTGGATGCGTTTTCGTCCAAATTATTTTCGTCAGAAGTCGCGACTCATAATTTTGTCAGATTTCTCCCACTGGACAAGTTTTTCCTTTGTAGAAGTCAGTCGTACATACCGATTTATCAAATCAGCATATTATAGTTGTTAATAATATGGATGATTATATATTGGAAAATAGTTTTCTTATCCGATTTCTGACGAATAAGTTTTCGCTAGACGGTATTGTTTCAAATCTCGTCTGTTTTTTTGGATGGTGTTTGTTATATAAGAATACGATTTTCCATAGTCTTGTATTTTAATATTTACAATACTATTCTGTATAATCTTTATGTTTCGCACGTTGTAAAAACGCTCTGTTGTGGTTGACTACTTTGTGGTGTTTTTATATAACTATTATACATTCTGTTACAATGCAGTATATTTTTATCTAGCATATTACTTGGTAGGTAATAATTACCACATATTTGTTATTTTAAGTAAGCAATAATTGCACATTAATTTGCATTTAACTATTCTTTGTTACGGATATAAAAAATGATGAGGTATATAAAACATACAAACGAAAAGAATAAGAAAATAATAACAGTATAATAATTATTGTAATATTTTAAATGAATTATGTGCAATAATTATAGTTATATTCTATTTAGCATCAAACAATGAACTAATAATCTCTTTTCAACACATTATTCTTCTAGCACTCTTTTTTACCATATCTCCTTTATGCTGGGGCCACAATAGCGTTAACGTGTAACGTCCATTATCGCTATATTTATTGGGTTAGAAATAATATATAAAATTAGGCGGTAAATTGAATATCTGCACTTGTATTTGATGTCTACTCAATAAATAACGCGTTATTTGATAAAATAATTTCATCGTGGAGATTGAGGCCGTTTTACAGCTGTATTATATGAGCGTCAATTATTATTTTATGCTTTTTGTCTAGGATCCGTTCTTCTAAAACCTCTATTATCTTTTCGTTAGACCAGTCCTTTTTTATGCAACCGTATTAAACCATGCTCGAAGCTCTAATGCGTTGCAATAGACAATGATAGTGTAGCCACATCAATGCGATAAATGACGCGCAAATCGCTTTGATGTGTCAAAAAAGACCTCCACCCGTGTTATCGCCTAACGTCTAACGCCATTAATAATAATGAATGATAAATTAGCGGCTAAGTCGTGGTTACACCTATGTTTAATGCAAGATAGTGCGATAATTAACGGCATTAGACGTAAGTGTGGCCCCAGCATACACGCATTAAACCTTAATTACTTATTACTGTATAGTATTTCCGATCTCAATTGAAGAACCAAGAGGTTGGCAGTATGTACCAAGTTCAGTCGCTGACGCAGCAACTCGGCATTGAAGTATTTGAAAAACTTGTTCCCATATTTATTTAGCCATACCCATATACAGGTCTGATCGAACTAAACGTGGAAGTGGTAGAAATGTATACGCTCAGTTGAAGAATGCACGCACGGGCAAACGGTGTATAACACAGCTGTACTGGGCGACTGGGCAATGAATCTCAATTGTTGACAAGTGATTGACAAATTGCCTAGCAGTGCAGTGCAGCAATGCGGAATTTGGTGTGATTCAGGTAATTTTAATTTATTATAGGCACCTATTAATCATTCGTATTACAACTATAAAAGGAAGATATTTTGTTTACTAATATTATTACCACGTGGCATTTTGGAGACCTTTTGAAACGGAACAAAACGGCATTTACCATCAATATAAAAAAATTGTTTCAGGACATAAATAATTAAAATATGTTGTTGGCCAAATAAATATATATGTAATAGAAATTTTCGAAACATTATATACAAATTATACAGGTCAACAATGGGAAAATCGAAAGCTGATGATACTACATGTAAAATGGTGACCATTGGCGCAAACATGCCTTATCCGAAAATTGATAGTTTCGGAAATACAGGATGTTGAAAGTTATAATTTTAAATCGTTTTTTGCGTTTATTCTGAAAATATATAGGTTAGGAACTTGAAATTTTGTGAAACTATATTTTTTTAAGCGACGAATAAGATGCGTGTTGCAATTTCAACGTTGCGCATAGAGGGCGCCACTTTTGCTTGGCAACCCAGAAGTCTGGACTTCAATCCTCTTGATTTTTTTATTTGGTCTCGAATGAAAGATATAGTTTACAAAGAATCTATTGGTTCGCATAAAGAGTTGTGGCAAAGAATACAAGTCGCTGATAACGAAGTCGGACGCAATTCCAATTCAAACTCGAAGATCTCTCAGAAAACGTTGGGTAAAGTGTATCAGTGTCAACGGTGGATTCTTCGAACAATTACTTTAAATTATAATTACGTATTTCATTTGTTTATTTTTGTAATAACATGAAGAAACACTTAGTTTGTTT